ATGTCTCTGAGAATAGGGAAGAAAGAGGAATCAGACATGACAGCCAGCTGCTGTGGCGGCTCCTTTGTTTAGCGGGGAGTCAGACACCCTGTCTTTACAAGGCTGGTTGATGAGTGACACAGTGGCCTTCGCAGAGCGGTTTCAGGCTATGGAGGTATTTTCATGTACAGTTATCTAATCTGACTGCCCCGATCTGGTAAAGTAGACTGTGAAAGTGATTACTGTCAGGTGTTACAGATGAATACACTGAGGCTCTGGGAGGTCTGTTCAAGGTTATCCGCTGCAAGGGGAAATGCCGGGACATGCGCAGGCAGCCCGAGCCCCGGGCCTGCCACCCTGCCACCCAGCTGAGCGCTCCGTGCATCATTACGGAGACTCTACAAGAGCCTTATCAGCCAGGAAACCATTCCTTTCAGCCACAGGTCCTGTGGTGCCTGGGGACATTCCACGAATGGTGACATCCCAGGAGGCCTCTGGCTCTCCAGGTGTTCCTCCTGCCTTAGGTGTGGAGTTCCCGAGCGAGGTGGTGCTCCTCACTGTGGCATTTCCAACTTCGGAGGCCACCTGGGGCAGGGGACGGGCCTTCCTGAGAAATCGCGCCTCCTCCTTCCTTGGCACAGGAACTGGGCCTCTCCCTCCTGCTCGGGACCTTGGCTCTCGTTCACCTTCCTCACCCACGGCACCTGCTGGCTGCGTGTGCAGTGAAGATATGACACCTGCCGAAACCGGTTTGGCTCAGTGGATAGAGCGTCGGCCTGCGGACTGAAGGGTCCTAGGTTCGATTCCGATCAAGGGCATGTACCTGGGTTGCGGGCACATCCCCAGTAGGAGATGTGCAGGAGGCAGCTGATCGATGTTTCTCTCTCATCGATGTTTCTAGCTCTCTATCTCTCTCCCTTCCTCTCTGTAAAAATTCAATAAAATATATTTAAAAAAAAAAGAAAAGAAGATATGACACCTTGTGGTTCACAGTAATTGTAGCTGTGTTCGTCCCCAGGCCATCCTGGGTAATGCAGCCCCAAATAGCCCACCTCTCCATATATGCTTAGATACGTTCCCAGGGCTGACTTTCCCCTCTGTGGCAACTTGTGTCATGAGCCCTATTATAAAACGTTGCGGGCTCTCTCACACTTCTGTGAAATTCGTGCTCGTTGCTGCTATTCCCAGAGAGGATGTGAGAATGAGGGCAGGGGGCTACAGCGGGCACCGTGAGGAGGAGGCGTGGAGGTCTTAGGACCCAAATAATTGAGCAGCTTTCACTTTTTAAAAAATATATATTTTATTGATTTTTTACAGAGAGGAAGGGAGAGGGATAGAGAGTTAGAAACATCAATGAGAGAGAAACATCGATCAGCTGCCTTCTGCACACCCCCCACTGGGGATGTGCCCGCAACCAAGGTACATGCCCTTGACTGGAATCAAACCTGGGACCTTTCAGTCTGCAGGCTGACGCTCTATCCACTGAGCCAAACCGGTCAGGGCGAGCAGCTTTCACTTCTGGCCCGCTCCACTGGCCTGAGAAATGAACGCACTGAGCTTCTCCCCTGCTGGACAGACTCCCTGAGGCCTTCACCTCCTCATCCAGGAGGGCTTTATCGAGCTCCTATTATGTGCTCGGCACATTCCTGCCCTCCCAGACTTGGGGACTTTGTTGTATCTGCAACTTTGGAAACATATGGGCTCCTCTCCCCAACTATTTTGCGACTGCCCGAGCTTCCTGGACACCCCACTTCCTGGACACGCCGCTTCCTGGGTTTTTCTGCCCCTCCCTGTCACTCATTCTTAGTCTGCTTCAGTCATCCCTTAAATGTTGGTGTTGTTCCTCAGGGCAGCAGCCCGGGGAATTCCTGGAGCGGTGCACCCTGGCAGCTGAGCAGGTGGCTGGAGCAACCTTTACCTGTAGGGCTCAGAGCTGCTGACAAAATGCCTCCTTCTCCCACCCTCTGGCAGTGCCGGGGAACTGGGGTGTGTCTAGAATATTCGAGGACACATTTTTAAAACAGCTCTGACCTCAAACAAGGGGCCGGAGCTGGAATTACCTACCTACTTCGTGTCTGCTCATTCCTGTCGTTGGGGACTGAAACCTAAATGTCTAGGGCCAGGCCCGGGGAGCACATGTCAGGAGAGGGACGGTTAGACCCAAGGAAGCCTGGGAAGGACATGGCATTGTCCCTGCCCTCGCAGGCTGGTGAGGATGTGGACAGAGGCCCATAGAAAGGCAGGGGCATTGCAGAGTAGCCCAGCGGTCCTGCCGCCATCTCCCCTCCCCCGCCTTCGGGAGGCAGCTGGAACCCAAGCCACAGACGGCAGGGGAAAGGTTTCCAGTAGAGAAAGCGCCCGGTCTCGGTGGGCTGGTGTGCAAGGGCGGAGAGCCCAGAGGCAGGCAGATGGGCCGAGGAAGGGATGGTGGCTCCAGCTGCTGCCCACCCCTCGGGATGGCCTGCACTTCTCCCTGCAAGAACCAGTCCTTTGGTCTCTGCTTCCGTGAGTTTGTTTCTATTGTATTTGTTCATTTATTTTTTAGATTCCACATATGTGAAATGTTCAAGCACTTGCCTTTCTCTGACTTATTTCACTTAGTACATTATCCTCTAGGTCTGCTCATGTGGCAAATAGCAAGATTTCACTTTTTTTTTAATGGCTGAATAATATTCCATTAAATATACATACCATTTCTTCTTTATCCATTCATTTATCAATGGACACCTAAGCTACTGCCCAATCTTGGCTCTTGTCAAGAATGCCACAACTGATGGTTGCCAGGCAGGAGGGGGGCTGGCAGAGTGGGTGAAAAAGATCAAAGGGATTAAGAGGTGCAAATTGCCAGTTATGAAAATAGTCACGGGGATGTCAAGTACAGCATCAGGAATATAGTCAATAACATTGTGATAACTATGTAGGGTGCCAGATGGGCACCAGAGTCATCAGCAGATCGCTTTGTAAGGTATGTACAAGTCCAGCCACCATGTTGTACACCTGAAACTAACATAATATTGTATGTCATCTGTACTTGAAAAATACATTTAAAAAAAGAATCATTCCTTTATTTGGCCAACACCCTCGGCACTGTTCCCTGCTGGCCACCCCTACAGGCAGCCATCACCTGGACGGGGTGGGCGAGGCCCAGGGAGGGGGCCTCCCCAGAAGTCGATTTACTCCAGCAGCAAGTTACCAGTTTGACGGATGCACAGAGACTTTCCTTGAGCAGGACTGAACATAGGACAGGCGAGTTACAAAGCGGGGAGGCCTTTGTGGGAACATGTCCCTGGGGGTGGGGGGTCAGGTAAAGAAGGCTGCTTCTGCCATCTGGAAGGCACAGTGGGGCTGCCCACCGTTTGCTGGGCCCTTACCGTGCAGATCCTATACTGTGTTTTCTTCTCATGACAACTCTGTGCTACTGGCCCTGGCTCTCTAGATGACCTCAGAGAGGTCAAGTGACCTGTCCAGGCTCACACAGTCAGTGGCAGAGTCTGGACGGGGACCCAGGTCTGCCTGACTCAAAGCTGGTGCCTTCTCCACTGGGGTGCATGGGACTCAAACGTTTGTTTAGTTTATGCTGGCTGCGCACATCAGCGATTTAGAGCAAGGAGAGAGCCAGCCTCTCCTTCATTTTACTGGTAAGGAAAATCAGGCCCCGAGGGATGAAGAGACGTCCCTCAGGCCCAGTGACCCAGAGGGAGTGAGGGCAGAATCCAGGCTGCGGAAGTCCTGGCCACTCTCCCATTCCCCTGCACGCCCCATCTCATCTGGACTTGCCATGGTAACCAACCCTCCTTCAGCGTGGGAAGCAAAGGCTGACTAGCGGTTACCTAGCAACTCCCCATAACCAGGTCAGACGGAGCAGGGGGAGGGAGGCGCCCCTCGCTGCGCACCCTGGGGAGTTCTGACCTGTTGAGATGGAATTGCCCACATCAGAATGTGCTCACAAATGACCCTGGGTAGAGCCATACCTGGAAGAACCTGCGCTGCAGAGGCTCAGTGAGTTGCTGGGATTTATGACACGGATCAGGCTGGCTGGGGCCTCTGTCCCCACGGCAGACACAGGGCCTCATTATGCACGGTCTGCTTTCTGTGAATAGCACGGAACCTGACCCCACTGACGTGCTGGCTTCATCTGCATGTGGAAATCCATACAGGAGGGTGGATGGAAGGGTGAGTGTGTGTGAGACACAGACGCTGTGTGTGTAGTGTGTGTCTGTCTGTCTGTCTACATAGGCATTTTGACTTAGAGGGGAAAAGCTGGGGAGCTGTGCTCCCTCACACTGCCATCTTGTTCCTTAACTATCTCGAGACATGTTTATGGAATGGTCTGGTCATGTAAGATACGAATTTTTTACTATTCCCTGTAGATTGGGTCTTGACAGCCACTGCCCACCTCATTCATTAAACAAATATTTATTGAGCCTCTGTATGCCATGCACAGTGCTAGATGCTGGGCAGACAACAGTTTACAAAACAGAGATGACTCCTGCCCCCAGGGAGCTTACAGTCTAATAGTCACACAAGTCAGTCTAGTGCCGTCATCTAGTGCTACTCAGGCAAAGCACCGGCAACCGCGAGGCGGTCTAATGCAGGCGGACGTTCCCCGCCCACGGGCCCTATAAGGCCCGAGAAATCGTTTGGTCTGGCCCTGCCATGGCATTAGGGGTGAGTTAATGGCAACCACGAGGCGGTCTAAATGCAGGCGACGTTCCCCGCCCACGGGCCCTATAAGGCCCGAAAAATCATTTGGTCTGGCCCTGCCATGGCATTAGGGGTGAGTTAATTAAATGTTTGACCAAATATAGCAGGCTAATTTTTAAGTTGATAATTTTGTATGGCCGCGAAAGATGTTGTATATATCCAAATGGCCCTTGGCAGAAAAACAGGTTCCCCACCCCTGGTAGTGGGAAGGATGGTTTTAGATTAGGGGCCAGAAAATTACAATTTGAGAAAGTGACACTTAAACCAAGACCTAAGATGCATAGCAATTAGCCAGGCGAAGAACAGGGGATGTGGGATGGTTTTAGATTAGGGGCCAGAAAATAACAATTTGAGAAAGTGACACTTAAACCAAGACCTGAAGATGCATAGCAATTAGCCAGGCGAAGAACAGGGGATGCATTCCAGGTAGAGAGAACAGTGGGTACAAAGGACGTGGGGACAAATCCTTGGCCATCTGGAGGCTGAGTGAAGGCCAGTGGGGCAGGAGCATGAAGGCAAGGAGGGGAGAGGCACCGATGGGGACTGGGGAGGGAGGCAGGGGCCAGACCTCACAGGGCCACACTTAGGACTCTGCATTTTAACCCAAGTGCGAGGGGCAAGGGAGTAATGCAATCAGATTCCTGGTTTACAGATTGCTCTGTGTGGAGAAGGGAGTAGAGCAAGAGGGCAGCAGGGAGAAAGGTGAGGAGGTTGGTTCTGTTGCCTAAGGGAGAGATGTTGCTGGCATGGCTGTGGTCATGGAGAGAGTGAAGGAACCTGAGCAGTATTTAAAAAAAGAATTGACACGATGTTTTTCTCTTGCCCTTGCCTTGCTATAGCTAGGCCGAACTGTCGACTTCAGACAGACAAATGGCAGATGTTCTGGCCGTGCCCATCTGCCTCCTATGCGGCCTGGTTTGCTTTGGGCTGGCTCAGATCTAAGGCTGTCACACGGGCCACTCCCCTGCCTCCCAGCAGGCCCACACCTGATGGTGGGAATCAATTTTGTTTAAAGATTTCCTGAGAAGGCTTTCACAACGTGTTCAGTAACCTCTGCTCATGTTTAAAATGATTACTATTCGGAAATCCCAGTTTGTACTTCACCTGAATGCCCCTCCCCCTAAAATTTCCTGATGCTTGATGGAGATAAAGATGCTATAATAATAATACATCACCTGGGCAGCCAAATATGACGTCATAATGACAGCTCTGAATCATGTCTCTCTGTCCCACAGCCCAAGCGACTTATTTGTTAGCAACAAAGAAAGATGCCCTAATGTCCCGGGAAAAGGGATCCGAGCAGCTGTTTAGCTCACTGCCGAGTCCTCTGCCCTTGTGCTCAAAGTGTGGTCTGTGGCTCAGCAACAGAACTTCTGAGACTGGTCGAAAGGCAGGATTGAGTCAGGACCTGCATTTTAACACACTCCCCAGGCAACTCATGGGCACATTTATTTTGAGAAGCACCAGCTTAGATCACCCCAAGGCCGTCTAAACGTGGGTGGGCAGGGGCAGGGGCCAGGCATTTGAAACGCAGCGAGCCTCGGCACGCGGGACGCGGCATGCCGTTGGTGAGACCCAACTGGTCCGACAGGAACTGGGTTTTCGCTGGAAGTTCCCTGCTCCCAAGTCCCACAGGGCATTGCAGCCGGATTCAGAGACAGTGTGCCGTTTCCTGGTTGTGCAGCCTGAGAGGCACTGGTGGACGAGCCCTGGGGCTGAGATGCTATCGGGTGGACGCACTCGCAGGCGCTCCCCCAGCCGGCACCAGGGCCCAGGAGGGTCAGCCTCCCTCCCCCGGCGTGGACGGTGTGGGCCTTGTCCCCTTAGCTTGGTCCCTAAGGCCCTTGTTCTCTGGGTGGCACCTTCCTTCTGAACTGAGCCATGTAACGAGCAGGCTATTTTGGCACCTCAGTTAAAATGACTCCCACAGTGGCCTCTGGTGGAAGAGAAGGTCCAGGCCCGGGGTTCTGAAAGCTCTGCCCACACTGTGCGGTCAGCCTCTGCGGGCCAAGGACTCCTGCGCCGTGTGTGTGTGTGTGTGTGTGTGTGTGTGTCTCACTAGGCACAGCCCCGGCAAAACAAGGCCCTTGTCTTATTATCGCTTTCTTGAAAAGTGTTTCAAGGCACGAAATCCAGGCCAGAACCAAATCTTCTCACTCTGTCCTCACTGGGGCTGATCCTACATAATCAGACAGACAGATCCCGTTTGTGGGCTGTTTAAAGCATATGGGTTGTAAATACTGTACAATCAGACATTAATTCTGGCTTTTATTTTCCTTAACGTGTTCACATTGCCTCGCACCAAAAAGCTGATCGAGTCCCCTTTGCCTCTGCTCTGTCTTCATTCCTGTGGTGCCTTTGCCCCTACCTGCTGGCTTCATCTCTCTGCTCCAATTCCTCCTCCCACCTGCCTCCGCCCTCCTCCGGAGCTGAGCCTGCTGACTCCAGCATCTTCCTGGCCTGTCCCACTTAACCTCTTGCTCCCTCCCCTCCCTCTGCGCCTCTCACGCGGCTCCTTCATCTTGTGAAACATCTTCGCTACTTTTTCCTTCCTGTGCTTTCATTTTCAGAGGCTACAAGACGCCCCTCACTCACGCTCGCCTCCCCCTGCTTCTCTCAGGCGACTTCCTCTCCCCTCCTGCGACCCATCACGGAGTCCCTTCTTGTCCTGTTTTTCTCTAAAGGTGTCCTGGGGAATCAGAGAATCGTAGAATTCAGGGTCAAAGGGAGATAGCCCGCATTACACTGACAGTTACTTCTGAGTCACAAACTCTTTCTTTTGCTTATATGACCTTCAATGATGGTTGTCCCCGTCCCTCCTTAGAGCAGCAAGGATGCAAGGACGAAGGAAGAAGAAACAGACCCCCACTCACCCCGCATGCCCCTCACTAACACACTCAAACCAACCCTTTTTTCACACGCACAACCTCCTAGGTGCCCTGATGCAGAGCTGTGCTCCCAGCTACCCTAGGACACTGAGCGCCCTTCCCCAGGGCCCCTGTTCCCCAGCCTGGCTGGTCTGTGTTATGCCCAGGGGTGGGTCCTGGGAGACACAGTCCACTTTGAGGTGCTGAGGAGAGACGGTGGGGGGTTCCTTTCCCCAGGTGCGGCTCTTGGTGGAGGGAAGGTGCCAGCCCAGGTCCAATGGTCAGGGGAACAGGAAGCTCATCTAAAAGCCAGGCCCACCCAGGGTCATGTTCAACCAACCAATTAGCCAATCACTAGTCAGTGCTCTTGTGGCGTGGGCTTCTGTCTGTGCCGCTGGGCAAGGCATCTTCAAAACGCAGAAAACAAGAGAGAAAACAAACAGAGCCCCAAAGAGACACCCTGTAACCACAGAACAATGACTCTCCCACCCGGCATGCTCGGCCAGGGGTCCTCCGAGCACTTTACAGAAGCTAGGGTGCTGCTTTCTTAGAAGCCGGGGACACAGAGCTCACACCCAGGTTCGCCCCTGGGAGGCCTGTGCAAGTCCCTTCACTTCCCCGTGCGTGGCCCTCACGGTGTCCCCGTGTCTCCACGCCAGCCACAGGACGAGGAGCAGCCAAGGAGCAGCCACTGAAGGAGAGGGAGGTGCCGGCCTTGCCCAGGCCTCACACCCAGCTGCTCTAGCTCAGACTGGAGCGGCTGCACCCTAATTCTCAACCCAGCACGCTCTCCCTGGGAGAGCAGGAGGGAGGCTGCCCTGCAAACCCTCGGGGTGAGTCGGGCGCGCAGGTGAGCCAGAACATGCCCCGCTGAGTCCTGCCCCACCCTGCGGTTCTGCGTCCAGCTCCGGGTGTGGATCTCTGCTCAGCTCCTTGAAAATTCCCAAGACCAGGGGGAAGTGGTGCCATCTTTAGGAGAGCAAGGATTTCTGTTTCCCTGCTCCCTCCTCCCCCAAGCGCCCCCACCTCCGGCACACCCCTTGGGGGGGTGGGGCAGAAAAACAAGTATGAATATAAGCTTCCACCTGAGTTCCTTTCATATCAACTAATTAACCAACTAAATTGCCAATAAATTACTGTTATAAAATGTGTGTACCCATAGGCATATATGTGTGTGTATGCGCGCACGCGTATATGCAGTTCCAGCCTTTCCTCCTTGCTTCCTCTTGCAGGCAGCTCAGACACAAGCCTCCGACCCCGGAGAAGGGCTTCACCGGATCATGGGCGCCACGTAGTTGGCAGGGAAGAGGCCCAGCTTGTTGTGCAGGCGGCCTGTCCACCAGGAGGGGTTGGAGCTGTCCAGGACCTCGACCACCTCTCCGGAGCGGAATCCCAGCTCGTCATCCTCCAGGGCCTCGAAGTCGTACAGCGCCTGGGCCCACCGCACTCGCTGTTGGGGGAAATCACAGGGGGTCCTGCTGAGTTGGGGCGGCCTCCGAGCCACTGTCACACAGAAGAGAATCTGCTGGCTTTGACATCCAGACAAAGTCCTCGGCGAGCAGCCTGCCCTGAAGGCTGATGTTGCCTCTCCAGAGACAGTTCACCCCCCGCTGCGACGGAAAGCAGATGTGGGCTGCAAGGCCCTGAGCTCCAAGTCACCAGAGTCATCGTCGAGGCTCAGGACTTGGGCTAACAGAGCCTCCAAGGCCCCAAGAAAATCCTCGAGGACGACTCTCCCTACGTCGACAGGTGCTCTTTCTACTTTGTTCACGTGACAAACAGAACGGCAGTGCCCAAATGGGCATCTCCCTCCACCAGAACCAGAGCCAAGAAATGGGAGAAGGACGGGGCAAGGCTGACGGCCAGCCGAGAACAAGGGGCTGGATTGTGCTGGGCTGGGACCAGCCCCACGGGAACACTCCCCCCATGGCCACTATTTGGGTTCCCACTACCTCTATTTGAGCTCCGTGCAGTTTGGCATCTTTCCTGGAGAACCAACCGTTTCTCTAATTGCCTATCTTACCTCCTCCATTGGGCCCAGAGGGAAAGTTCACGTACCCCGGCCACCTGGAGTTGCACTGGGTCTGTGTGTCTCCGGTGCATGAGGGTGGCATTCATTTCGCTGCCCATGCCCATGCCCAGGCCACAGTGTCCGTCATTTATGTCAAGGCTGCCTCCACGGCGCTCCTAGAAACAGACGCAAGAGAGGAGCTGTCATCACGCCACCAGAGCATCCCTCACTGTCTTCCCCAGGCCTTGCTCGGATAAACACAGCCAGGGTTCCAGTAATCCTTGCTGATGATGGCAATAAACCAGCCGTGGGCAAACTACGGCCCGCGGGCCGGATCCGGCCCGTTTGAAATGAATAAAACTAAAAAAAAAAAGACCGTACCCTTTTATGTAATGATGTTTACTTTGAATTTATATTAGTTCACACAAACACTCCATCCATGCTTTTGTTCCGGCCCTCCGGTCCAGTCTAAGAACCCATTGTGGCCCTCGAGTCAAAAAGGTTGCCCACCCCTGCCTTAGACCCTCGGGGGAGGGGGAGCTGGGTCATGTCTCCGGTGCATGAGGGTGGCATTCATTTCGCTGCCCATGCCCATGCCCAGGCCACAGTGTCCGTCGTTTATGTCAAGGCTGCCTCCACGGCGCTCCTAGAAACAGACGCAAGAGAGGAGCTGTCATCATGCCACCAGAGCACCCCTCACTGTCTTCCCCAGGGCCTTGCTCGGATAAACACGGCCAGGGTTCCAGTAATCCTTGCTGATGATGGCAATAAGCCCTATAGATGATGGCGAGAGGGGGAGGGATGACAAAGGTACCTAAGATTATGAAGACAAAGATGATGGCAGGTCCCATTTTTTCAATCAAGAAATGCTTATCAGGCCCCTACCATGTACTTCATACTGTTCTAAGCAATGGGGACAAGTAGCTGGAAAGAGAAGGTCCCTTGTCTTCACGGGGCATCAGTTCCGAGGGGGAATCATGCACATGTAAGTGATAAGTGAGCAGGGAGACGAATGTCTAAGTCTGCCTGGGTAATCAGGGAGGGCTTCATAGAGGAAGTGATGCTTGAATTCCAACTTAAAGGGGGAGCTCCAGGAAAGAGCATTTGAGGCAGAGGGGACAGCATATAAAAAGCCTCAAAGGCATGAAAGAAGATACAATGGGCTATGCCAGTAACTAAAGGTAGTGGAGCACTGCTGAAATGTGTGTGTCAGGGGAGCAGAGGGAGGTAGCAGGAGAGAGGCTGGGGGAACAGATATGTGCAGCTCAGAAAGGACTCTGTATGCCCTGCTAAGGAATTTAGGAACGATGTTATCTGGCAGTATTGTCCATCTCGGTAAGCCGCCTCAAATCCCATCTGGATAAGGCGGGGAGAAGTAAATAAATAAGTAAGTAAGTAAGGCTCCGCGGCAGGTGTTAATCCGTCTTTCTTGTAGATCGCCACAGCCAGGTGGGGTAAGGGACGTGAACAGATTTGAAATTGTGCTGATAGAAAAATGAAGCAATTGTTCCCTGAGTCCTTGGGGTAAGAAAGGGTGTGAGTGTGAGTGAGTGTGTGTGTGTGTGTGTGTGTGTGTGGTGTGTGTTCAGGCAGGGAGCAGTTTGATTCACACAGGCTTCTTTGCCAAAGCAGTTTCCATATCATATCAGGCAGGGAGCAGTTTGATTCTCACAGGCTTCTTTGCCAAAGCAGTTTCCATATCATATTTCTACCACTTGGGGCCCCAGCATCATCTTCTTCTTCTTCTTTTTTAAAAAAAATGTTTTTATTGATTTCAGAAAGGAAGGGAGAGGAAGAGAGAGATAGAAACATCAATGATGAGAGAGAATCATTGATCGGCTGCCTCCTGCACACCCCCCACTGGGGATTGAGCCCGCAACCCGGGCATGTGCCCTTGACTGGAACTGAATCTGGGACCTTTCAGTCCACAGACCGATGCTCTATCCACTGCGCCAAACTGGCTCGGGCCCCAGCATCTTCTTTACGAACTTCGTGAGACCTGCTGAGGGGCGGCCAGGCCAGCAGCCCCGGACCCCAGCAGAACCACGGCGTTTATTTGCTATGGCTGTTTCCAGCCTCGCGGGAGGCTCTCACCCAGTAAGTGGCAGTGGGAACAAGGTGACCTGAGCCTCGGTGTGGGGGTGGGGGAGAGAAGGGCCTGCCCCCCACCTCACTGTGCCCGCTCCATCCCTTCCAGATACCTGGTGAAAGTGGTGATGCTGCAGGTACCGCTGCTGCGCCGGTGGTGGGGCTGGGGGATACTGTGATGGAGGGGGCGGTGGGTGATCCGACAGCTTCCGGTTCATCGCAGGCCGGGTTTCTTCTCCCACAGCCCCACTGATATGTGGGCCTCCCTGGGGCCATCGGTCCAGGCTGTTGCCCCGGCGACCCTGGAAGAGAACAAAGATGATCCATCCTCCTCCCATGTCTCCTGGCTCTACCCCCCACTTCAGGCAGCTGTTCCCAGACTTTGCTCATGACAGCTCCGAGAAACTGCTGACAGGTTGGGGGGTATCTTAGAGAGAAGCCATGGTTCAGACCTTCAGATTCTCCTTTTTTGGGGATGTCAGGTCTCTGGGTCACAGACTGACACTTTCCATATGGTCTCCATTTAGTCCATTCCTAGTGGGCTTGTTTTTTCTCTGTGTAATCAAGCTTAGATAGTCTCTTTTTTATTCTGACACAATGCCACCCCTCCTTATCGCATGTTGCCACAATGCTGGGCATGCTACCCTCCAGATAAGCTCTGCTATTGACTTTGCATGATTCTGAACTGTCATTTATAGCCTGGTGATGAGACACAAACACAACCCTCTTGCAGCACCATGGAAACCAGGCCTGCACTGGGCATGCTGGGAGGAGCAAGGCCTTCTTCTTAAGGGTCTCCACCTCAGGAAGCAGAGGGTTATTTTTATGTAACAAGTGTAGAAGGGTTTAGTGTATGCCAGGCAGTGTTCTAAGCACTTTGCAGATACGAACGCATTTAGTCCAGTTTAGGGCAGTTTCATGTGGCCTCTCTATCTCTGCATGCACATCCTAGTAAATTAATACGCCTGTCCGTTCCCTGGTTACAATAATTCACAAGGTCTTGGCTGACCTTTGTTTTTCTTTCTGAGCTTCTGTGTGCACTTGGTGGGAACACCCTTTTCTCCTTTGATTGTAACTTCTCAGGCTGAAAAGCAGCCAATTACTTGAAAGGGACGGTTTCCTTTGTTTCCCCACAGCATGTGTTGCTTTGAAAGTCTCAATGCCTTTTCAGAACCCATCCCTGGGATTTCAGCTACTCCAGTCAACGCTTCTTCCTATACCTCTCTCTTATGTTTTTTCCTTTGAAAAGCATTTTATAAATTGTGTGTGTGCCTGTGAATTTACTCATGGAAGACAAGTTAGTATTTTCATTGCATCTACTATGGACCAGAATCTGTGGCAAGTGCTCTAACTATATTTTCTCAATTAATCCTCATAACAGCTCATTCTATACTCAGGTTTCTTTTTTGTTTTTGAAATTTTTTAAAAAATCCTCATCCGAGGATATATTTTTTATTGATTTTAGAGAGCGGAAGAGGGGTAATGAGAGAGAGAGAGAGACATTGATGTGAGAGAGAAACATTAATCAGTTGCCTCCCGTATGTGCTCCCAACTGGGGATCAAACCTGCAACCTGGGAATGTACCCTGACTAGGAATAGCACCCACAATCTTTTGGAGCACGGGATAACACTCCAGCCAAGTGAGCTACCGGCCAGGGCAGAAATGTTTCTTAACTTGGCTAAGTCATAGGATAGCTAGTGATGAAATCTGAATTTAAAGTTGGGTCTGTCTGATGCATTTTCTGTGAAAACAATATTCTATATTCCAAATTTTCCAAGAGCAAGAATTCCAGGACTATGCTAAGTACTATGAATCCTGTACTATGCTAAGTCTTCTACCCCAATGCCTCCTCTCCACCCCACATCCTGTCACAAAGCTCTAGCTCTGGGCCGAAACTGATGTAGTAATGTCGGTAACAAAATGACGGCATCCAGTGAGAGCTCACTGCACCGAGTGCGCGATGTGGTTAGGAACGACGTACGGGAAGGGGACGCATTATCTTCTCACCTTCACAACCATCCTAGGAGGTGGATAGCACTGACATCCCCATTTCATGGATGAGGAAACTGAGGATCAGAGACCTTTCCAGAATCACCTAGCTAGGGGTTTGAACTGAGATCTGACTTCGCAGTTATTCTACCTTTCAGAATCCTCAGAGGACCTGCCCATCAAATACATCGACTTGGTGGTTCATGTAAGACTCCAGCTGCCTAAAAATATCTAGATGGGCCGGGCCAGTGTGGCTCATTAGTTGAGGGTTGACCCATGAACCAGAAAGTCATGGTTCAATTTCTAGTCAAGGCACATATCCGGTTGCAGGCTCAATTCCCAGTAGGGGACTTGTAGGAGGCAGCCAATCAATGATTCTCTTTCACACTGATGTTTCCATCCCTCTCTCCCTCTCCCTTCCTCTCTCTGAAATCAATAAAAAAAATATTAAAACACTTTTTTTTTTTCAATCCTGAGATGGGCTGACCTGGTCCTCTCGCGTCCTATCCCTCAGGAAGATCTGCTTCTGTTTGGAGATAGAAGTTGTCCTGTAGTAGTCCACCAGCTTGTTGAGGGATGGAAACTTCTCTGTCCATAGGAAGTAGTTACCCTTGTTGTCTCTCATGACCTTGAAGTGCTGAACGTCATCCTCGTGCCTAGAAATCAAGGCAAATCCAAACTGTGTGTTACATGGTGACTGTGTCCCCGCCTTTGGGGTTGATGGCACCTGGGGATGCCAAGCGAGTTCTGTTAGGGCAGGACATGGAGATATGGGGAGCTTGCTCATCACTAGGCAGGTGGGCTGGGCCAGTCAAGCTCTAGGAGGAAAGGGCTGTTCAGGACACAGGCTGCACTAGAGCAGAAGGTAATGTGTCTTCTGACACTGGAGTCGACCTTTGACAAGAAAAAATGTGCCAAGTGCTTTAAAGACTATGAGGTCAAGGACCTTTTGACTATGTTTATCTGAAATGTGGCCACCCCTGGGAAATGTACTATGCTAAGCACTCTGTCAAGACTCAGAAGGGAGGGGTTCTCAAGCCCTTGTTATCTTTCCGTTATCGGAAATACCTCGAACCAGCTCCTTCAAGCCCATAGACTTGCTCTGGACAGTCAGACACTACCTTGAGAAATGTGTCATGCTTGGTCTCTACATCGGTCTCTTGGTCTTGCTTTAGTTTTGCATAAATAAGGTTGCAAAGCATTTTGAGCTTTTGGGGAAAGAAGTATTACATAGCATTGTAGCGTTTTCATGGGAACAGACTTCAGAGATTGTTGATCCTTATGTCTCCATGTCACAGCTGAGGATGCTGAGGCTCCGAGAGATGGAGGGCCTTGGTCAAGGTCCCCGCGAATGAATGGCAGAGCTGAGGCAAGAACCCCGGGTCTCTGACTCCTGCCTGCCACACCATGTGCACATGCTAACTGCTTTAGATGGGCATCTTTTAACACCAGCTGGACTCACAGGGCAGGGGCACATTTGTAGCGGGGTGGAGAGATTGGATTTTATTCATCACAAAAGGGAGGACTGGACCTTTACTAATAGCTCCAAGTGATTCTATCTAGGATATCAAGTTTATGTGTGAAATGGACACACATTTATATCTAAAAGTTAACTGATGTTAATAGTGCCAATTGCCTGATCCAGCAGAAAAATCAAGAATTTAGAGTGTCGGAGAGTAAAGCTACGTCTGAAGGATAGTGGCACTTTCTTAGGGATGGAGTTAGTGGTCTGTGCTCAGAGGGGACAGGAATTCCGATCACCAGTATCATTTACGTGCTGGGCTCTGCTCATGGGCAGGTGAACCCATGCGGTGACCTCTGCTTTGGCTGCTCTGGGGTGGTAACCAGCACTGTGCAATCATGGCCTGGCCGTTCACAGATGTTTCCTTCCCTGTAACACCACATAGCTCAGCTCATAGTCATTACCCCTCACATTTGGGTGAAGAGGAGGGAATATCCTTGCGGTATATTATTCATCCGCCGCCTCTGGCCAAAGACCACAAGAGTGAGAAACATTAACCCTTTCACTCTCATGAGCTGGGAGGGGGGGATGCCAGGATTTTGGTGGAGAGAGCGTGTTCTGCGAGGGGCAGAGAAAAGGCTAAAATTTAGTGTTTCAGATGCTTATCAAATGCTAAGTGACAGAACTACAATTAGCTCTTAATTATCTGTGCCCATGACAGAAAGCAAATGTGTAAATAAATAAATAAAAATGACTTCGCTCTGGAATGCATTACCCTACTTTTCTGCAGAAGATGAGCTCATGATTATGGTAATAATCACTGTTACAGAAGCTGCATTGCCTCAATAGCAGGGGAAGGCCTGGCGGAAGGCAAGGCTGACTGCTTTATAGAATCTGCTTCAATCAAGGAAATGTACTAGGAAGTCATAGCTCCGGGCTGAAGAGGCCAGAGTCAACTTCATGCCAACCACAGGCACCGAGGTGCCCTTTGGTCTGACAACTCACTTGGTCCATTCCATAATCAAGGCCCTTAAGAACTAGGTTAGGCTTGTAAGGTTTACTGACAGAGCAAAATTTCATTAAAAGATGTAACAAGTTTAGAATTGTGAGACATCAGTATTGGCCTGACCTAGAATATACCGCTGTCCAAGCTGTGAAAAAGAGAGGAAAATTAAGAGTTTAAGTGAGACTGCAAGGGCAATGCGCACAAGCCCAAGCTATTTTTGAGAGGCACATGCACATACAAATCACTGACCCATTATTTGTCAGCCCCTCCTCCCTAGTCCTTAAAATATCCATTCTTTCTAAATAGTACAGGGACCTCAGTTTATTAGCCGAGATTGGATTTATGTACCTAAAGCACTCAAGCCACAGGCCTTTCAAAATGTACTGAATAATCCAGATCAGCATTTCCTGTCAACTAACTCGACAGCAGGCTTCACTGTGCAGGCTGTCACCCTCCCGTGCTGCCATCAGCATGAATTCTTGCACTTTCACATGTGGTCACCAAGTCTGAAACGTGACTGCAACCCCAGACATGCTGACCACACGCCGTGTGTTCAGACGTGGGGCTTCTGAGTGCGGCGCTGCATCACGCTTGTGCCTGGACTGAGTCACTTCCTCTGGGTGCTGAGCATTAGGGAGTTTGCTGTTCGTCTCCCCACCCCGGCCGCCTCGGCTCTGCCCTGCTGCCTCTGTTGTAGGTGTGTTGTGCGGACACCCCCCACTCCATCTGTACCCCATAGCGGTGACTAGGGGTTTTCATTTCTCTCCGACCCTGCCTCAGACATCCATCTGTAGTGAAAGGTTACAATTTAGATCTCAAGATGGATGTGGACAATTCTCCCCACTTCTCTCCACAAATACTCATCATGCACCACTGGGCACCAGGCACTGTTAAAGGCACAGAGATGAGGTGGATAAAAATCCCATCTTTCTGGAAGCACCTGCGCTAGAGGGGGAGGCAGAGAAATGTGCGCATGCTTTCGGCCACAGACCAATGTGCCTAGGAGTTACATGCAAGTGCCATGGGAAGCAAGTGGACAGCATCAGGCCCCTTGGCCACCACGCTCCTGAGCAATAGGTCACGTGCAAGAGGTCACTTCATGGCTTAGAGGTCCAGGTCAGGGCGGTGTCGGGGATGACAGTACCTGACGGATATGGAGAAGTCCCCTGGGGAGCTCTGGCTGGCCCGGATGATGAAGAAACCAACCTCCTTGGCCATGAGTAAGTTCTCTGCCTGGTGTCGCGAGAGGCCTTCGTGAAACCATCTACCGGGTGAGAAAACCACAGGATTTTGGTGAGATGCCAGAGCGATAGGAGGGGGAAGTAGAAGTGAGATAACCCCAAGGAGGGAGGCTGGGGACAGCAGCGGAGGAAGTAGAAAGAGGGGCCAGGCACTCTGGAAGCCCAACAAACGTGCAGGCGTGCTCAGGCACAAGAGTGAGTGTGCCTGTGACGCCCCCTCTGTTCCCTCCAGGAGAAGCCCCTCCAGCTCGGAAAGAGTCGCAGCCTTGGCCCAGCTCTCGCTCAGTGCTCGGCCAAGGCTGCAAGGCACCGGCCAAGGCTGCAAGGCACCGGGGAAGCCCTGCACATGCACTTGGAAGTGAGCGAGGCCGGCAGCAGCCCGAGAACCAGGTCTACAGAGCGGGCTCCTGGGCCTCCTCAAAAATCCAGGCTGAAAATAACCTTTACTGCGGAAAAGGAGAAACCGAGGAGAAACTGCCCTTTCAGGGGGCAGCGATGGTGGCGGCCTCGGAAGTGTCAGGCCGCCTGTCATTTATGGAAAAGGCCGCATTCCTAGTATTTTCACTGTAAGCTATTTGCCGGAAACATTTTTGCCACAAGCCCTTTTGCTAATGGCCACAAGGCAATTTTGCAGTAAAAAAAGTTAAAATCACGACAAATAAAAGAACATAAAATTAAAAAGGCTTCATTTGAATATAGTTGAAGTGTGTGTGGCTTCATGGCAGTGCTGCGCAGATAACGGATTTTATTTTGGGGATCGTAGCTGAGCACTTGTCTTCGTTCTGTGGGAAATGTGGGTTCAACTCTGTGCCCGCACAGGGCCTCGCTTCTCTCCTCCAATTAGTGTGTTTGAACACAAGAAACCCACCTTTGGGGCCAATCTTCCTCCTCTGGAAGAAATGCTATGCTAAGACCCCAACCACGTCTCCTCTCACTGTATAGACCGTGAAGAGGGCTGGCTAAACCTCACAGACAGTATAGAAATGGGAGGAACTAGGAGAACTTGTCAATGGAGAAATGTAACAAAATGACAACTAGCTTAAATGCACTGTGTGTGGAAGGCAATTGATCGGTTCATCAATGGAGAAATGAAACCAAACAAACAAGCAAAAAAATCAAAATCAAACTGCCAAACAATTATTTTCTTTTTTATGGCAGTTGATTGATTTGTCAATAAAGAAATGAAACCAGAAGAAAAAAACAATTGTCAACCAGTTATTTATCATTTTTTTTACGGCAAAATTGCCTTCAGCCAATTAGTTAAATGGGGGAAATGTCTGTAGCAAAATGTCTACAGCAAGGACTCTACTAGGGAAGCACCCAGAACAGAAAGGGCCAAGCACCTCCACAGGCCAGGCAAACAGTGGCCACACCTCTCACCCACAGGAAAGCGAAACAAGTATTTGCAATCACTCGGTGGCCAAAGGTGGGACTGGGTCCCGTTGCTCCCAGGTGGGTGCCCTAATTGCTGCCACTGGAAGGCCAGTGTGTGCTTCCCTTTAAGGCAGCGGTTCTCAACCTGTGGGTCGCGACCCCTTTGGCGGTCGAATGACCCTTTCACAGGGGTCGCCTAAGACCATCCTGCATATCAGATATTGACATTACGATTCATAACAATAGCAACATTACAGTTATGAAGTAGCAACGAAAATAATTTTATGGTTGGGTCACAACATGAGGAGCTGTATTTAAAGGGTCAGAAGGCTGAGAACCACTGCTTTAAGGTGAATGTCCAACAGGCACGGCGTGGGATGCCTTTAAAAGTGAGCAATCCCTGTGCTCTCTAGAATTTAGGAATACGAACAGACAGGGGTGGCAGGAGAATGTCCTTACTCCAGGACTGCAGGGGGTGGTGGGGTCGGCTCTGAGGGTCTGGAAGCAGAGGGTCTGGTGATCACTTGCCTAGAGATCCTGCCCAGAGTATTTGCCACAAGCCCTGCAGGGATTTGGGTAAGAAACCTAATGGTGATGGGAACAAGAACGGGACACGCTCCACAGCAGCCACACCTCAAAGGAAATATATCAGACGAGGCAGCAGGTAATAAGGGGATTGTTCAGAAAATACACATTTGTCCTCCGACTGGAATTTGATAAGTGACACTTTTTAAGACTTGCAAAGCTGTCCATACACTACATATTAAACGAGTGACCAGGGTTTCAATGTTACATATCATTCCAAAGCTATTCATTCATTCAATAGCTTTTATTAATAAGGGCTGGGCCAGCCCTGGCTGGGTAGCTCAGTTGGGTAGAGCGTCGTGCTGATATGCCAAGGTAGCCGGGTTGGATCCCTGGTCAGGGCACATACAGCAATCAACCAATGAATGCATAAATATGTGGAACAACAAATCAATTTTTTTTTCTCTTTCTCTCTCAAATCAATAATTCAAAAAAGTGCTGGGCCCTCTTCTGGGCACTGAGGGTAAGTGGTGAGCAGAATAAGTGGTGAGCAGAAGAGACCAAAACCCCTGCCCTCAGGGACCTTACATCCTAGGGGCGGGGTGCACAGTAAACAATAGAATAGGTACAATAGGCCACGTGTCAGGGGAGGAGAAGAGCAGGAGACAATGAAAACGAAGAGGAGGGGTGGGGAGTAGGGTACAGTATCTATACTAATAAAAGCCTCTGTGGTCGTCACGCCCTCATGCCGTGATGCCCTCACGCCATCACAATCCATCACCAGGAGGCTGCATGTACAGCGGGCACGTGGGTGGGCGGGGACTTGACTCTGCAAGGCCCAGAGAGAGAGGGCCTGACAGCTGCGGTGCACTGGAAGTCCCGCCTCTACACATGTGAACTGCACAGGAAACACCTTTTCCGACCACTCATTGGCTAAGCTCACAGTACGCCACTCGCAGTGTTCTTGGTACCGTGGGTAATAAGAATCCAAGAAGGTGATCTAGGGTTTTTCCACCTCACTCCTGGAGGAAAAAATGAAGGTCCACTGCTGGAGGGGATCAAAAATGTCATATTCTGCCCTAGCCGGTTTGGCTCAGTGGATAGAGCCTCAGCCTGCGGACTGCAGGGTCCAGGTTCGATTCTGGTCAAGGGCATGTATCTAGGTTGCAGGCTCCTCCCTGGCTGGGGCCCAGGTCAGGGCTCATGCAGGAGGCAACCAATCTAAGTGTCCCTCTCACATTGATGTTTCTCTCTGTCTTTCCCTCTCTCTTCCACGCTCTCTAAAAATCAATGGAAAAATATCCTCAGGTGCCTTCCCCTGATCATCCTGGTCGCCTCCCGTGGCTTAGGAGCGGGCGTAAGCCGTCAGTAGGACATCCCCTCAGGGCTCCTGGACTGTGAGAGGGGGCAGGCCGGGCTGAGGGACCCATGCATGAACTTTGTGCACCGGGCCACTAGTTTACAATACCCTGCACAAGGGCCTCACTGGGAGGGCGTGTTCTAAACTACAGAAGCTTGGGAAGATGAGGAGAAAGCAGGAAAGGGGACAGAGGAGGAGTAGTCAGGAGGAAGGGTGTCCCAGAGCCAAATGAAGAGGGAGGAAAAAATCTAATTGTGCTGAGATAATGGCCAAGAATTGACCACCGGGACTGTATGTAGTTCACTGTGACCTTGATAAAAAGGGTTCGCAGGAGTGGAAGGATTCTAAAGAGAGTGGGAGTGGGGGAGTTAGAGATAATTAATATAAACAATTCCTTTGAAGAAGTGGAGTGGTAGCTGGAAGGGGATTTGGGATCCAGAGTTTTTTGTTTTGCTTTGGTTTTGGGCTGGGGATGGGAGAAATCGCAGCGTTGTTTGCTGATGGGATGACTGAGCAGAGAGGGAAAGACAGTTGATGTGGGAGAGAGAGAGGAGAATTTTTGCTGGAAGTACAGACGGTTCTTTCCGAGCAGTGTCTGAGCGCAGTGGCAGGAGGTGGGTGGATGCAGTGAGTCAGGAGTGGGTGGAGTGGAGGGGCTTTTCTGGTGGCTTCCACTGTCCCAGTGACCCAGGAAGCAAGGCCCTGGGCTGAGAGTGCGGTGGCAGAGGCGCTGGAGGGCTGAGGAGCAGGGAGGGCATGATGGGGTCATCCAGAAGATTAAGGGCAGCACGGGGGGCCTGGTGGAGGACAGTGGTCAGCACTGGTTCACAGGAGCGCTGCTGCACCTCCCCACTTTGGTTTTCTAGCAAACCTTTGCTCTTTGGCTAGTCCCTGCCGCTCAGACAAGATTAGCTTTCTATCTAACCCTTGTGGTCAGTTCTTGAGACAAATGAGATTCAATCTCAAATTTTCATTTCCTCTTTATGAAGGGAACTTCCCCTTCTCTCCCACTGACTTCTCTTTTTGGTGTGAGCGTGGTTTCAGGAAGGCAGGGAGTGGCCGCAGGCCTGCCTAGGGCCAGAGCTGTTTGGGATCCCTGGTTGGGAGGGAGGGCTGGTTGGTTGGGAGATAATGGAGTGCTTTAAAGTAGCTGCTCTTGAAGTTCAATGGCCAACAGTGCCCCCAGTGGAATTCTTGGAAACCCTGTGATTACAATTATAGATGATTTTAGTTTATGAACTTTAAACAGGTGGTATAAAATTCAAAAGAGAATGCAGTGAAATGCAAATCTCCCTCCCACCCCTGGCCTTCAGCTGCGTGGTTCCCTCTCAAGGCAACCATTTTTGACAGTCTCTTGGTGTGCACGGATAATTTTAGTGACCGCTGAGCAGTAAGGGGAGTGTGTGTGGGCAGGCCCATCTCAGCAGGCTGGAAATACTTACTCAGGAAACTGGATGTCTATAAAATTCTTGGGCACGTATCCTTCTTGGCTCCCAAGCTCTGCCTTGAACCACTCCTCTTGGTTACTTAAGATCTACATGGAAGAGAAGGAAGGACAAAGACACTGCAGGGAGGACACCAAGAAGCAAAAGAAGGGGGCTGCGGGTGTGGGTTTAGAGAAAATAAATCAAAGAAACCACACAGCTGCCCGAGTGGGGGAGCAGCAAAGTTATCTTTGGGGTTTAGCTTTTCTTGACCCCAAGCTGTTTCTGTCCATGAGTGCCACCTACACAGGTGACCCCGCCATGGCGTGGCCTCCCAGACTCAGCACTCAGGGGCTTCCCAGAACCCCTTTCTCTTTCTAGTTTGGAAATTCATGTGCCCCAGACCTTAGCACCTAAGCTCATTGTCTGGGCTGACGGTAAGAAGGCAAGAGTGACTGCTCCATAATTTTTCTTCTCTGTCAGGTGACTAGGATCCTTTTAAAAATTTAATTTGTTCTAATTTTTTTTTTGAAACAAGCAGATTAAAACGTAAGTATCCAAGTGGGGCCAGCTTTGAAAACAGTAACTCTTTGTGTTCACACTCCATGTAGTTCACAAACAATTTGGGCATAACTCAAGATATCTAGAATGCCTTTTTAAAACTTGCTTTTCTTTTCTTTTCTTTTCTTTATTTGCAAACCACATGTATTCTTGACACATATCTTAGCATCAAGACTATATAAAGAACTCTCAAAATGCAACGGTAATAAAGCCCAAACAATCCAAATAAAAAGAGAACAACAGACATAGACAGCCATTTCATTAAAGAGAATACACAGATGGCAATTAAGCACTTGAAAAGGTGTTCAATGTTATTGGCCATTAGAGAAACACAAATTAAGATGACAATGAGCTATCACTACACACCTATCAGAATGGCTAACATAAAAAGTAAAGATAACACCAAATACTGCCAAGGATGCAGAGAACTGGACCACTCACACATTGCTGGTGGGAATTAAACTTGCTTTTAGAGCCAGGTCACAGGCCAAACCAGAAGTCCTGCCTCGCTATGGCATGGTCCTCCCTTGACGGTGATCCCAAATGTTATCACCTACCGTGATTACACATGTGATTGGCCTGATTTGGCTCTATGTGACTTTTGGTTATTTCAGGAAACGTTTCACCATTAAAAGACAAATATCTGCCCACAGCTCCCCTCTGAGAACGTTTCTATAGTATGTGGCATAGACTCGAACAATAATTCAAAATGACGATGGCAGAGCAAGAAGGTGGAAAGAACCTTGATGATGCCACTGAGCCACGGAATCAGCCACCCAGGGGCCCGCCTACTTCTGGACTTTGGGTGAAAATTAATAAATCTTTGTTTAACAATTTTTAGTTTCTGTTTCTTATAGATGAGAGTGTGTTAACTGAGAGGAGTGCTATCATGGAGGGGAAAGCAGAGGACGGATAGGAAAGCCTACCTGCAGGAGGGGACATCTGGGCTGTCCAGGCAATGACAGGAGTTACCCAGGAGAAGTGTGATGTCGAAAGAACCACTTCTGGGATATGAGAAAGTGCACTGCATTCTGGGAGCGAAATGCCTTAGTCTGGTGGGAGTTTAGATCATTGTCCAGAGAGAGAGGGGAAACCAGACACCCGGCCTCATGGCCCATGTTGACAATTTGAATATTTATCTTGACATTTATGGGAACCATTAAAGGATGAGCGATTAAAGCAGGGATATAACACACTGAGAATTAGAGTTACTAGTAAGAAAGAGTGCTGCCTCAGAGTGTGGAGACGGAGTGGAGGGGTGAAGTCGGGGAAGGAACTGCAGGAAGACTACTGCAGACATCCAGGCGAGAGACGGAGGGGATCTGGCCTAAGAAGAGGTGAGGGCATATTTTAGAGGAATCAGGAAGCATAATGGGCAGGATTTCATGATTGTTTGTGGAGCGAAGGGAGAATGGGGATTCTGGGAAGGCTCCGGATTTCTGGCTGGGGAGACCGAGTGGGTGGTGATGCCTTTACTAAAATAGAAAATACAGGAGGAGGAGCAGGTCTGAGGGGAAGCTCATGGGCCTCAGCTTGCGTGTGGGTGAGGCCAGGTTGCCTCTGGGACCATCTGAGGAAAAGGTCAGTGAGCAGTGGGAGACATGTGTCTGGACCCAGCAGCGAGGTTGGGATGTTCGAGTCACCGGAAAGTGGTGGAGTTGAAGCCACAGGTCCGCTGGATTTCTCTCTCCCAGAGATGAAAAGAGAATGAAAGGGAGCTAAGTAATTGAGAAGCAACGACGGCCTCTTTCTACTGTCCCTCCTGAGGTGGAGGGAAGGGGACAGCACGTCGAGTTTGGAATGAGAAGACCTGGTTTCTAGCTTGGCCCTGTCACTCACTGTGTGACCTTTGGCAAGTCAATTGACCATCCGAAATATGGAAACAGAAACCCGGGCTAATGCCTTGATGTGAAGATCAGTTGAGCCCTGTACCTGGACTTCCTTCAGAAGGAGTGTGCTGTTGCTCAAAAATATAATTCTGTAAATGTGATCTTCTTATGAGGGAGGACTCCAGCTCTGAAGGACACAGAAGGGTTTTGTAAGTTCTTTAAAGTGTTCTGTATGTATGTTTTGAGTTTAATCATTTGTTCTGAAGAAGTAAAAGTGTGTCCCATAACTGAGTTCTAGAATTGCTGAGAAAAGAAAACTTACAGTTTCTGACATCAAATGCGGCTGTTAGTATCACCAGGGACATGTGGGGTGTGTATGCTGAGGGGTGTGGGGAGCAGAAAATCTAGGTCAGAAGAAGAACTAGGAACAGGCACCAGCGCTGGTGCTCACATAAAGGCACGAGGACGTTTCACGCGGGCCGTGTCCCCGGGTCTATGGTTTCGGAATGGTCTCATGGGAATTTGGAGTTTGGCCTGCGTGGCAAATGTCAAACAGGAGAGTGGGCAGGGATGAGGTGAAAGCGGCCATTTGGAAATTGGCTCTTCACGGTAAGAACCACATTTTGTGCTTAGTTCTCTGACCTGAAACTAGCTGTCATTTTAGTAATCGTGGCTCACACCCATCCACCTCCTCCAGCGACTGAAAGATTATCGCTCGATGCCCGCTACTTCTCCCCACCACCTGGCGTTCGGTCTGCCTGAGACTGTGTTCCCGGGGAGGTGAATTTCCAGCCTATTTTTGGTGTCTAGAACACAAGGTTTTAAAAAATCCATTTTCTGCAAAGAAGAGTATTTGGGGGGAGGTGGTTTCCTCCTGCCGTTGAGGGGCCCCAGACTTCCTGTGCTCATCTCTCCATCTACTCGGCTCCCCCCTATCTCTTGTCCCCATCACGGAAACCTGAGCAAGGAGTTCGGCCTCAACACGGGAGGGTTGACGCTCCACTTTACCGTGTCTTAATTCTCATAACGCTGCCTACAGAACACACTGCTGATTCCATGCCCGACACTAAGTTAGATGTGCAAAGAGGACGAAATGTACAGTTGGGAGAATTTTAAAATTGGATGGAATTACTGCTTAGAGGCATAGCAGAAATTTGAAATATTGAAGTTAATGAGATAGGATTAACTTAGTGCTTTTAGGTCGCTGTTTTAGTAGGAAGAATTGAGGTCGAATTAGATGTACTAAAGAAGCAGACAGACAGACTGACAAATTCAATTGGTGCTGGGTAGCTGCAGGTCCGAGGTTTGTGACACAAACACAAAACACCCGGCGCTCGGCTTTTCAAATGCTTCTCTCACAGGAGAAGTGGGCTCAAGTCACTTGGCAGGAGTTCCCTATTCACCGTTCTGTGACCAGCATCTAGTGAGCACCTGCTGTTTGCACGTAGATGCTGGGAATGCAGAGGTGAATAAGCTGGGGCCTTCGCCCTGCCTGGGGACTCACAGGCTGGAGGGGGTGGGTTGGTGGCAAGCTGGGCAGACATCTTTTGTACCTTCTAATGAAAAAGTCTGTTTAGCCTTTTATTTAGCTCTAAAGGCCAAACACAAAAGAGCATCTGGGGAGTGAGTTGCAGAGTCAGTCCAGAGATGGCTTTGAAAACAATGGTGAGGCTCCCAGCTTGTTACTCAGCTCTGGGGGGAAGGGACAGGTGTTGCCACATATGCAGAGGGACCCATAGGCAGGGCCACTAACCCCCATGAGGCAGACATTCTGTGAAGCTTGGCCAGAAAGCCCCTCTCGGCTTTTCTCTTCACTGCACAGCTGCAATGGACGGAGTTTGAAAAGGAAGAGGAGTTTGGCCTTCTGATGGAGTTCCACACGAGCAAGCAGAAATGCAATCTAGCAATTCAAGAAATGTGTACAGAGCACCTGTTTGGGGCCGTGATTTGTACTAGATGCTGGGAAGATGCAAAGACAGCGTGGCTCTGCTCTCAGTGAGCTCACAGAGCCGTTGAGGGGTCAACCACTCATTCATTTACCACCTATTAGGGAGGGTCACCTTTCTGCTGTTCAGACACTGAGGCAGACCCAGCCCCCGCCCTCACAGAGCTTTGTCCTGTGGCCAACACACAAATGGCAATTAGGATCCCATGGGGTAAGGACAGCAACCCGAGGTGGATGTACAGGCACCTCAGAGCATGGACGCTCGGCCTGCCCATAAATAACTGTCATGTGAGCCAGGATCATAAATGCCTTGAATAAAGTGCCTGTGAAATGCCGGGGAATCGCTGAAGAGGAAGGCCTTAATTTTCCCAGGGCAGTAGGGAGCGGGAGGATCGGTGAGGGTTCTGGGGCAGAGGTGGTCAAATGTGTGTGTGGGAGAAGGGCATCTGGAGGATGGGGAGAGCCTGAGAAAGGGTGGTGTGTATACTGTAGTGTGACCTGGGGGCAGAGATGTGTGTGTATGTGTGTGTATGTATTCATGCACCTGAGCATGAGGAAGCTGGGGCCAGACGGCTTAGATTTCAACCAATTGGTAATGGGGGACAGTGTGACCTGGGGGCAGAGATGTGGTGTGAGTGTGTGTGTGTGTGTGTGTGTGTGTGTGTGTATGTATTCATGCACGTGAGCATGATGAAGCTGGGACCAGACGGCTTAGATTTCAACCAATTGGTAATGGGGGACCACTGAATGCTTCTGAATAAGGAAGTGACGTGATCTGATCTGTCTTCCAGAAAGATCCCTCCGGGACTAGTTTAGAGAATGATTGAAGGAGGAAGATACAAGAGGTGATGGGGTCAGTCAGGGGGCTGTGGCCACAGTCTGAACAGGCAGAGGCAGCAGGAATGAGTAATACTAATAATACGGTGGCCACTTACTGAGCATCCGCTTTGGGATGGGACCATTACCTCTAATCCGTTCCACAACCCTGCAAAACAGATACAGCCTCCACTTACAGATGAAGACACTGAGGCTCAGGGGGCAAGTGACTGGCCCAGGCCGCACAGCTAGTAAGCTGGGATTCAAACTCAGACTTATCTGCGTCCAAAGTCCATGCTCCTTTTGACTGCATCGGCTCCTCTCTAGCAAGGGGACTGCTTGAGACATATCACGAAGAAAAGTATTCAGAGCAGAGGACAGTGCTAGCAAGTCAGAGAGAACTCCATTCAGACCCGGGAGAGGGAGTTAGGAGTGTCACACTCTACAGGCATTGCAGTAGGGTCATTATATTCTACGTAAGGACATCGCTGGTGGATTTTAAGGGAGTGTTGGGGGTGAAAGTCAGATTCCAGGGTTCCCGTGGAATGAATGGGAAGGGAGGTAGTAGAGGCACCAGCATTGGGAGAAAAAGAGAGGCAGGAAATTGGAAGCTGGATTGAGAAATGGAGTTGAGGGAATTTTTTTTTTTCTTTGAACTTTTCTGGGGAATAGGGAAAATTTAAACAAGACATTAGGTTCTATTTGCAATGAGAGATGAGCCATATGTTCACAATACCCACAGGTAAGGGAGAGATTGCTCACCAGGCGGCAGACCCTTCTGTGACCTTGATAAGATCCCAAAGAATTGAAGGTCACCTTTTCCTGAGTCAGCAGCCAAAGGACATTTTGACCTTGAAAAGCTCTAACATCGAAGGCACATTTTTTTTGCAACCACCTTACTAGATCTTGCAAGGTGAGAACAGTTAGAGGGACAAATACTGGGGGTGTTCAAGTTCCGAACCAAGTCATCCTATCTGGTTTGTGCTCCACAGACACTTTCTGAGTCACCTCTCATGTACCAACACGTTTCTTTCTATAACAAGCATAATTCTTAGTGGTGAGACAATGGTGGCCTCAGTGCTGCTGGGAGCCAGGGATCAGGATATCCGAGGCGCCGAGGCCAGGCAGGGGATATTGGCCTCACAGACTCCCCAGTGGCCTCTTGAAGGCCACTTTTACTCTTCTGCACAAAACAGGGGCTAAGATGCAGAGTCTGCCAGTGTGAGGCATAAAAGTTGGAAGAGGTCCAAGGCCTCTTCAGCTTAGCAAGTGGCCACTACAACTCAAGTGCAGGCTGGGTGTGCATGGCCTTTGTTGAGTCTTGTTTCCACCCACACCCTCATCCTGTAGTCCCAGCGCTGCTGAATCTCACAATGTGCACAGAATTCCACATGGGCTTGCTCATTTCCGAGCTTTAGCAAAAAGCCCAACTCACCTTCATTATATCCTAACAACTGATGTTGCCACACTGCCCACAAACCCACCTTTCACGGTGGGACCACTTGCTCCCTCACCTGTGCTGCCCGAGCTCTTGGATAAGAGCATCTACAACAGCCCTTTGGATGGATTGTTCCCCACCCCCCAGAGACCACGAGCATCTCAGGACAAGGATGATGTCTTATGCCAACCGCACTTCCATCCCCTGGGCTGGTAGCTGGCATACAGGTGCTCAGAAGGAACCCTTTTGATTGAGGTGAACTTCTCTTTTGGAAAGGAGCTGTGTGCAATTCTTTAGAAACAAAGGCATGTGTTGTTCTTTTAAGTCAGTGACCAGACAAGAGTAACCTAAACTCCCCAGGGGGCCCCTGGCCTCACATCACCTACCTTCAGAGTATCTCCAGTGTGAAAGCTCAGCTCATCCTCGCCTGAGGCGGTGAAATCAAACTTGGCGATGGCTTCCATGTTGTAAGGAGAAGCTGGAAGAGAAAAAACGTGGTCATTGTGCCGTTCCGCCGGGGGAAGGGCAGCGGTGCAGATGGTGCTGTGTGGCAGTCTGAGCAGTTGGTAGGCGAGTGGTCCACTGTCTCAGGCTGGAGAGCCTGGCGCAGGACAGGCGTACTGTGAAGACTCTTGTTTTTGAGAAGAGTCTTGCTGGAACCTTTAGGGCCTGCTTCCTGGCATCACTGTCTGAATCCCCAGATGCCAGGAGCAGGAAATGAAAGCCAGAGACTGACTCTCTTTTCATCTCCCTTTGACTGGCCCGGCCTGTCACCATTTCTGGGGCATCTCCATTTCCAGCTGATAGGGAAGGAGACTTGCTATCATCTCTAACTTGAGGCCTGAGGGGCCAGAAAGACTGTTCTTTAAACGCAGTCTGGTCCGAGGCTGCCCCTTGGCAGCTATATTTAACCCGGTGGTGTTAATTAGACAGATGCCATTGCATCTTTTACATCTGAATCATTTAAGAGAATTAGACAGTGCTGGCCACTGGGGACCTTCCGGTCCTTCTGCACGTTTGAGAGTAGAAAGCTTTCTGGTTTTAGAGTTGGGAAACTCGATTAGTCAGCTTCCTAATTTATGTTATTAATATTGTGTAAGCCAAGTACATTTGGAAAATTTTCGTTTTAATACTTCTGAATTGAGTTAAAATATTGACCTCTCCTAGTAACAGATGAGACCTGTGTAGAGATAAATAGGTCAGCCTACAAATGAAATAGAGGTGTTTTTTTGTTCTAGGAGGCAGTGGGGATGTAATAGAGAGCTGAGACCTGATTTGTTGGTGAACAGCTGCAAGCAACTAACCTCTTGGAGTCTCAGTTTCCTCGTCTGTAAAATGGGGGTCATAATATTAAATAGTAAGAGGGTGAAATTAAATTAAATAAATAGCTGCAAAACGTTATAGAAGGTAAAGCTAAGTAGCATTTTTGTTTCAAAATAATCTGATGGAATGAATTTATCCTCAGCAAAGGTAGGCTGGCTAACACAGCACAAGTTTTCTTCTCATCTCTCCCATCTTCTAGAACTTTCTCATTGAAATTTGATGTTTATTTTCTGTGACCCTCAAATCCTTTGGTCCTCTGCTAAGATGGCTGACTGTCTGGACACAGTCTTGAAAGCTGCTGGTTGGTTTTTATGTTTTGCAAAATTTGCCCAAGTCCAAAACCCTTTAGGTTAGTAACACTCAAACTTAATTGACTTTCAGTGACCAGTAAATTGGGACCAGTAAATTGTCCCCTCAGTGGGGATTTCTGCCTAAGTGACAAGATTTGCGTAAATAAGGAAGAAAGGCCGCCATGGGTGGGAGGGTGCAGCGGCCGGCCGAGATCAGGGGATTAGAGCCGACTACTTCTGAATTTAGTTAAAATACTGACCCCTCCTAGTGACAGAGGAGACCTGTGTAGTGGTGATAGCAAGGGGCTCATCTCTTTGATTTTCCACATTTGCTTGGTCGTCCAAAGGTAATTTGTAGAGATGAGTATTACCAACCCCAAAGAAAGATATTAAGTGAAAAATATTTCAAGAGCCAAAGTAAAATGTCACTGCTGCCTGAGCTCTATTACACATCAAAATGATTTTGAAAGAACAAGAAAAAAGTATACTTTTTGTACACTTTCTTCAAGATCTGTCCATCTAAGGCAAATTAAAATTTTTGTGACCTAGGATGACCTACTCAATGGGAAGGCCTATTCTGCCCTCCTTAGTGAATACTAAATGCCTTTGATGATTTGATTCACTCCATTACTTTAACATCCAAAGCTTCCCCTAATTAAGGCCTTGCCTCTAGTTGGCACCACATTAAAATGTGGTGTCTGAGGGTCACCCTCATGGTATCGACAGTGAACACTGGTCACTTCAGGAGATCAAGTGTCAGGTGAATGGTCCTGAAAACCAAGATCCCATTTCCATGCAAATTTACCTTAATGAGCAGGATGGAGACAAGGGGAGTGCAAATGCTAAACATATTAGAAAGTCACATAAATTAGAGATGAAAAGAATATTCAAGGCCTGCTCTAGATGTGACCTTGAGCTTGGGAAGATCTGTCCTCCATTGCATGTAACTCCGATCAGGCCTCGGCCCAGGCTGGCTGTCAGTCACTTCAGAGAGAGGGCTGAGGCGGAAGCAGAACTGCCTCTGAATAGGGGCACTTTTCTCCTTCCCCCACGAGGCAGGTGGCTGGCTTTCAACGACACAGCCACATCACATAGCTCCCCTGCTTATAATATTAATCCTGGCTCAGAAAACCCAATTAAATAGGCCCACTCTTCATGAAATCGCTTTGAAAAAATTTGTTTGCATCCCATTTCCATTTGTGAAATGAAATCTTTCAGCTGCTGTTCAGAGGAGGAAGCTGTTCAGGGGGGAGTGAGGTATGCTTTGTTTTTGTTCAAATCACAGGGCTTTGCAAATTCTTCCCTTGATTTTACCATTCTCTGCCTCCCGAATAGCAGAGGATGGTGCATGTGCCACCCCTGGAGGCCGGTCTCCTGTTTGATCATAGGAATGCGTCAAAATTTATATCTCATTCCTCTATAGCCATTCGTTTTAATTTAATTTGGGAAAGTTTAAGATTGCCACCAGGGAAAAATAAAACTGAACTAATGTAGTTTATTCAATAGGTATCTGTTTGTTTTATAATCTGTACCCACTACTACTGCATCTGGGAAAGTATATATATGAATATATGATAAAACATGGTAGCAACACTTTTGAGATAGAAAAGAGGAAAGAGAGAGATGAGATGAGAGAGAGAGAGAGAGAGAGAGAGAGAGAGAGAGAGAAATATGAGGAAGAGAAGCTGTTTCTAGAATTAGAATTCGAGAGTGCAATGCCTTCTCCATGCTGTCTGCAGTAACAGTGCTACTGACCTCACAGGGAGAGGACAGAGCCACCCCTTCAGAGATCCTCCCAGATGGATTAAATGTGCTTTTTCCTGCCAGTGATCAGTTTTAGAAATGGCTGAAATGCTATCTGCCATAGAGTGTGAATGAGAAGTGACAGTTTCCAGGGGCAGGCAAGCCACCTCCAGCAGCCTCCCCCTAATCCTACCTCAGAGCCCAGGGCTCCTGTCCCTACTGCGACCTCTGCTTCTCACCAGCCCTCCGCATGGGCCTCACTCCCCCTTTACTAATGGCCGGGAATAGCCATTAGCGGCCCCAACACAGATCCGCCTCACCGCAGGGCAGCACTGCACAGGACTCCCCAGGCACGATTTTCTCTGCCCTTGCATTTCCATTCAAGCTTCTTTTACCACCAAAGAACTTGAAAAAATATCCAGACTAAATACCAGGAATGCTTCTCTACTTCTAAAACAGAGTCACCACAGAGAATGGAAACAAAAGCCACGAGACAGTGCTGTAAGAGCCATCCGAATTGATGTCGTTTCCCTACATATGAATACCTTGTCACACATAATGTCAACACATATAGCAATTTTGGTGAAATGTAGCTGATGAAGCATCTCCTCTTCTGTAATTTCGAATACTGCTCTAACAACAAAGTCATGTGATATGAAATTAGTTAGATTTTGCAAGAAGAGCTCTTACAACAAAACTCTCAGCCTTTCTCCCTCCGTCCTATAGCAACTTAGTATCTGGAGCCATTAATAATTTTTTTTTAAATCCAGAAGGCATATAGAAACCTTTTCAAATTTTTTATCTGATTTGTTCATGCAGATGTAGTTTTATCAAAAGACCTTATTTTACCTTAAGATATTTGTTGCACTGCGACCTCTGTGCACTGCTGTGCTTAGAAATTTCTAGTTCAATTCATTAAAAGCTGTAAAGCCAATCTGTATCATGTACCAAACTGATTTAAGGTAAATCTACATGTTTATTGAAAAGAAAATCCTTAACTGAAAGCCAGAATAAGTGGATGTGTTCAGAAACACATGGTTACCATCAAAATGGTAAGAGACTTCTTAAAAGATTTCAGCTCCTCCTAAGATGGCTATGAATAGTCAAGGTTTCTGTTTTATGCATCTCTTAAAAAGAGCAATTGCGTAACACCAGAAGCTGTTTGAAGATTCAGGCTCAAGATCCATCGAAAGAGGGAGCCGGGTCCTCAATTGAATCAGTGACCACACTTCCTATTTTTCTGGGGAGAGTTCTAATTTGAAGATCATATGACTTGCCCCAATTTATACTGTCATTCAGTTAAGATAATGCTTTGGGGGGAAAAAGAGGGAGAAACAGTGCTCTTTATAAGACTCTTAAACAACATGGGGGTTGGGGTGCTGACCCCCCAGTCGAAAGTCTGCCTATAGCTTTTGACTTCCCGAAAGTTTAGCTGTCCCTCAGTATCCATGGGGGATTGGTTCCAGGATCTCCACAGATGCCAAAATCTGAGGTTGCTCAAGTCTCCTAGATCAGTGTATATAGTAGGCCCTCCACTTCCCTGGACTCCTCACCTCAGGTCAAAAACTGTACAGACATTTACTAAAAAACAAAAACAAAACCACCCACATATAAGTAAACTGACACAGTTCAAACTCCTGTTGTTCAAGGATCAACTGTATTGCTTGTAGCATTTTATCAGGACATTAGCAACAAATATAATTTTTATGAATTTATCTTGTGCATCAAATAAAGTGATAGAATAGTGAGGAGTTAACACAGAATAGTGAGGAGTTAATGTTTAGGTTTTGGGCTGTAGCTACGAAGAGGAGCTTGGCTAAAAGTGTAAAGTTGTACCAGCCACTGAACTTCAGCTAAGGCAGACACTTGGAAGCCACAGCTTTCTGTTTGTTAGGCAAAGCCCCTCCTGGAGACAGAGCATTTGCTGCCCTCGGGAACTGATGGGTCAGCTCAATGACTTTCCAGAAATAGGAAACCTTACCCCGCCAGGAAAAAACTGTAGCTAAGCCTCACTGTACACAATAGCTCTGTTCTTGAAAAGTTATTATGAATAGGGTATTCATAAATGAACCATATTAGCATACATATGGAAGCTCATTCCATAAAAGAACCCCCGTGGTGA